CCCCACCTCCCGCGGCGCCGCCGCGCCCAGCCCCGCCCCGCCAGGCAAGGCCTCGCTGCCCGGAGAGCCTGCTCCGGCAGCCTGCAGAGGAGGGAGGGTAAAGCTTGTTTCGTGGCCCTCTTTGCCTGGCCGTTTATAAACTACTCGGGACAGTTTATGCGACTTCTTTTGTGAGATGGAATTAAAGGCAAAACTGTAAATTGACATCAGCACCACTTTCTGCCTTGTAAATGACTGTCAGTACTACTCCAGCTGAGAGAGCAAAACACGAATCCCGTCTCTGTGTTGAGAATCCAGCCTCACGGAGGTGGCCTTGGTTGCGATTCGCGCTGGTTTCTGGTCTTTTGGATTTTCTTATCCCTCCAAGAGTAATAATAAAGCTTGATCGATTCAGAAATGTTTTAATTGAGTGCTTCTCAAACTTTCATAGACATGAAAATCACCTGCGCATCTAGTTAAAATGTACCTGCTGATTTAATGTAGGTCTAGGGTGGAACCTGAGATTCGTTTCTAGTAAACTCCCGAGTTATGATGAAGTTACTAATCTCTTCTCCACATACTGCTTTTGTTTAATTTTTTTTCTTGCATTATGTTAGTTTTTCTTGCTTGTTGGAAAATCGTCAAATATTACAAAAAGGTAGGATGTAAAGTGACAGTTTCCTCAGAAACTACTGTTAACATTTTGATGTATATTCTTCCAAGCTAATTTTTTGGATAGGTGTAATATTTACTTATAATTTTATGCACCCATTTTAATTGTACAGTTTTGCTGAGTTTTAACAGATGTATGCATCCATGTAATTCAAGATGTGGAAATTTTCATCACCCCAGAAAGTTCTCTTGTTCTTATTCCCAGGCAATCCTCCATCCCAGACCTGGCGGTGACAAAAATTCTCTCTTTGACCAAACTCTAATTAGGCTCCTTTGAACTCTGTTTTCAGCTGGGCCTTGATTTTTGGGCTTCTGTGCCCCTCCATGCATCACTCAACTTTAGTAAGAATTCTGCTAAGCCAGTTAAGCCAGAATTCTGCACCCTGAATAACTGATCACCTTCCGTATCTGATCAGGTTCCTCCTTCTCCACTACCCCCAAGTGCTGTCTGATCACCCCGCCTGCCTTCAGCAAGCATCCTCGTAGGTTCGTTTAGCCAGAATCCCCCTCACCTCTGTTTCCTCCTAGCAATTTTCCATCCACTGAATCCACCCTACTCCTTGGTTATAAATTCCCACTTTTCCTTGTTGTATTCAGAGTTGAACTGGATCTCTCCCCTCTACTATAAACCCCAGTGTAGTATTCCCTTTGAATAAGGTCTTCCTTACCATTTTAACAAGTTTCATGAATAATTTTTCTTTTTTCTTTCTTTTTTCCCCCCAGCTTTACTGAGGCAGAATGAACAAATAAAATTGTAAGATATTTAAAGTGTACAGTGTGATGATTTGATATACATTGTGACAGGATTCCCCTCATAGAGTTAATTGAAACATTCATCATCTCTCATCATCATTTACCTTTGTGTCTGTGTATAAGAAAAATTTAAGTTCTACTCTCTTTAGCAAATGTCAGTTATACAAAGTTATCAACTATGGTCACCATGTTGTACACTAGATCCTCAGACCTTATTCATCTTATAACTGAAAGTTGTACCCTTTTACCAACCTCTCCCCATTCCCCACCTGGCCCCCCCTCTCACC